CGCCCATTTATTTTTTCTACCTGCTTATTATATGCAGCGGTGCTGCTGGAACCTTAGCATACACAAGCAACAAGGCAGCCAACACAGCCAATTCATCACAGAGATAGCAAAGAGACACATTTACACCAGTAAGATATTAGATTTTTCAGTCCACCTGACTTGCATGTCTTTGGAACCCTGCCTTTTTTTATAGTCTCCCAATCCTCAGATCTGTGTATTTTCTTATCATTATTTATTGTACTAACATCAAATGAATAGTTTCACAGTACGTGTTTTTTTCATCTTATTGAAAACAATGTTCACAATGACTGATGAATGCATCTTCTTCTGTGTAATGATTTGTGTAACAAAAGGAGAATTGATCCGCAACATTGCTCAGAAGCTATTTATTCTATTCAGTCGACCATCTATTTGATGGGCTCAGTGATTGTGTAATTACACAAATCAGGCAAATACACTCGTGCTTTAGGTATAATTTTGTGTTACTTTCAGTTCAGCCCAAGTTTAGTTTCATTATTGTTATCATGATATTATTTTTATTTATTATAAAGCCTGTCTACTAATGAACTGGCAGTAAATACTTGCTTAATGCAAGTCAAAGACCTGCTCAATATGCTGTGGACCAAAAACACACATCAGTGAGTTTAACAGCTTTTTAAAATCCATAAATGTGAACATTTATCTTTTTAGGTATTCTTACCCATAAGTCCCCTGTGGAAAAGAATATGGCAAAATGTATAGAGTCTGATGGCGCAATAGAGGAGCATCAGGGCATGTGACCTAAGACAATTTTCTTTTCAACTACACTCTTATCAGCAGCGCTCTTATCGAGATCCTTCATCTAACTCAGCGGTGCGATTTTGAATTAACCTTAAGTCGATATCATGGTCATCTGTCATGCTGACAGGAGCAGACTTGTGAGTGTGACATTGGAAAGATAATCATCTCAAGAGGAAATGTGGTCTTCTAGCAAGAATGTTGCTCAACTGGACAGAAGGACCGAGTCACTTGCGGTTTGAACCTGGGGTGAGACACACAGAGACTTACAGTACAGCCAATCATAAAAAATTATGTTTAGTATTTGGAGGATGCAGGATAGCTCTTAAATGTTGTTTGAATGTCCCTTTCTGTTGACTTCCCTTTCACCATTTCCAGTGTTGTCGTTAATAAACAACATTATCTTTTTATGTCATTAAATCTATTTCTATTTGTCA